TGCTGAGGTTATTAATGAAGAGAAGCAAAACTGCTGACTAAGACTGTAAATACTGCTGGAGGTGTGAAGATTCTTATGGAACAAATGCAGCAGCACCTCTCCTTGAGCAAAGGTATTTGTAGGTTAAATGGAGACTCAGCTTAAATTTTCAACAGTTTCTGCTCTAAATGTGCTGCTTATAATGAAAATAAAATCAGAAGATACTGTGCTGAGAAAAAGAGGGTACTGCAGTATGACTTCAGAGAAAAAAAACTTTCTATAATGTAACTGAGTTAAGTGATACAATCTCAGTGGGAATAGCTCACATCCTGCTGGCCAAACAGTGAAATGATGTCATGTTTCAATGTAGGTTTGCTTATGTGTTACCATTCTTCACCTTGGAATGGAAATAATTTGCTTGCCATTACTAGGAGTGTGCAGTACTTTGTGAGTTGAGCTTTTCTGATGGCACTCACCCCTGTGCATCTGCCACTGGGAGCCTGATGCAGCATTGCTTATTTGTGAAAGTAACCTGTTACATAAACACATGCTGCAGGATTGATAGAATTTTTGCCCTGCCGGTATAAAGTAATCTACTTTTTGTTTCAGAAGTTTGTTATTTTAAGTATAGCTCTCTGCAACTGTGCATCAGTTGGAGTTGTCCAATTGAATTCCATAGGTTTTATGTCAAACTGACAAGTTAGTTGTAGCTATTACACACTGTAAGATAACCTGGGCATGATATGTGAATATGTACGTGACTAGAGCATGCTGCATTTACTGACAAACTCCAGCCTTTTTTTTTTTTTTGTGGAGTAATTTTTCAAGTTGAAAATGTAACCTGTAACATTAAAACAATGAATTGACTAGAAACTCATGTTGTAGGGCTTTTGGGGAAGTTTATGCTTAAATATCCTTCACATATCCAACCCAGTTTTGGTTTAACCCAGTTTTGGTTTGAATGTTTTAGTAGAAGGTGGATCCTTTCCTTCTGGGAAAACTATTGATATGTTAATGGAAAGACTGATGCCTCACCTTATAAAGCAACTTGCTGAGTTTCAAGCAGTTATATACAGTTCCAGCCCTCTGATGGCTGCAAAGGTTCA